TAGTAGTAGCAGCAGCACTGTAGTCCTAGTTGCGGCAGTACAGATGACGACCACCAGCACCAGCACCAGCACCAGCACCAGCACCAGCACCAGCACCAGCACCAGCACCAGCACCAGCACCACCAACACCACAACAATCACGACGACGATGACGATCACGGCGACGTCGATTATGACGACGACGGCAATGGCGACGACGACAACGACTACGAGGACGACGAGGACGACGAGGACGACGAGGACGAGGAGGAGGAGGAGGACGACGACAATGACGACGACGACCACGACAACGACGACCGCGACCACCACCACCACCACCACCACCAACAACAACAACAACAACCACCACCACCGCCGCCGCCGCCACCACCACCACCACCACCACCACAACGATCACGATCACGATCACGATCACGATCACGATCACGATGACGACGACGACGACCACGACCACGCCACGACGATCACGGCGACGACGATCACAACTACGATGGTCACGACAATTATGGCGATCATGACGACCATGATGATCACGACGATCAGCCATTTGAAGAGGGTTCTTCCAATCGGGGCCCTGCTTAAAAGATGTTAAAAGCTGTGTCCGGACGGCCTTGGGCGCTTGCCCCGCTCAGCGGAGAGAAGTGAAGCCACCGCGTCCATTCCCTGAGATTAAGTGGGAAAGCTTGGTCATGCCAGGCAGCATTGAGATTGCATTTAGCATTTCAAGCACAATGGCAACTCATCAAATGAAGAGTATAGGAATTATTGCAGGAGCTGTGCGAAATTTGGAATAGGAAACGCAGGCATTATCATGAGGCATGGTACGTTCATTCTGGGCGGCGTTCGTGCATGAAGCCTACCTATGCGGCTGGCAGAAAACCACTTCGAAAGGCTAAAGACTTGAGATTACTCCCACGCAGTGCCGTTCTCATAACCAAGGCAGGACGATGCGCCAGCAGGTCGCGAAGGCTCCTCCGTAGAAGGTTGTGCCAGCAAGGCTCATTTTGCGAAGCAGAGCTTGAATAGTACTAAGATGCTACATTCGGCCACAGGCTTCAACTCTGAAAACTACACCCCTGCAACCGCAAACTCACAATTCCTGGAGTGCTATACTGGTTGATTCATCAGATTTCGAACCTTAAACCCCCTAAATCCTTAAGGTCTCTTAAATTCCTTTCAAACCTTTCAACCCTGAAACCCAGAAACTCCTTAAACTTAAGCCCTGACACCCTGAACTTCCCAGAGCTTCAAGAAAAAAAACTACATAACCCCCATATCACCCCTACATAACCCCTACATAATCCCTATATAACCCTACATAACCCCTACGTAGCCCCTATATAAACCCTACATTATAACCCCTACATATAGCCCCATCTAACCACCACATATCCCCCATATAATCCCTACATACCCCTTATATAACCTGCATAACCCTGATATGACCCTACATAACCACTGCATAACCGCCATGTAATCCCTATCCTGCATAACCTCTTTCTTACCCTACGTAATCCCTTATATAGCCCTACACAACCAACCCCAATAGTGCCTTGCCTCCCCGGACAAAGCTTCCCGGAGCCAGGCCTGGAAATTGACAGCTTTGGACCACGAGGGCTTAGGACTTAGGGCTTAACGGGTGGTTCAGGGCTTGGGGTTTAGGGTTTAGGGTTTAGGGTTTGGGCTTAAAGGGTGCTGCGGTTATGTATATTTTCTTCATGGTTACTATTACTGATGCTGTTTCTGCTACTCTTTCTATAGGAGGTCAATCTCCAAGTGTGTAAGGAGTTGGGGACCCTCAGCTAAAGGCCACGTAGTGCTTATGTAAGCAATGTTAATGGCAACTCCCCTCCTGTAGTTTCTAGGACTAGTTGCAAGTTGAAGTATAACTGTTGTGGTACTGTCATGTAACACGGGAGCCCCGCCGCGCTGGATGGTGTTTTTGGGGTTTTAGAAGATTAGGGGATTTAGGCTTAGGGCTTCGGGATCTAAATCCAAACGGCTCTAGGCGTTGAGGTCTAGGGCTCGGTTATGTCGGCTCAGGGGCCAATTTCATCTTTGGGTTTCTTCTTCGCGCAGTGCCAGGTTTTAGGGTTAAGGGTTTTAGGGTAGATGCACTCCAGCTTTGGGTTTCAGGTTCAGGGCTCAGGGCCGTACATCACCCAGAACGACAGCACGAACAGAGTTCAGTAGCCGTGTAGCGGTTAGCGCCAGGCTAGCAAACCAACACAAGGTATCCACGGAGATCCCAGAGAAGCCCCAGTATCTTCGAATGTGCTTCTTTCTGTACACCTTGCTGTTAGCTTCCTGATGTGCCTTGGGATGTCATGCAGGGATTCATGCAATGAAGCTTTGCAGCTTTCCGTTCGGTGCCATGCGCAGACATCGAAAATGAGGGAGAGGTTTGTCATCCCCAGCTCTTCTTCGCAGATAGCATTCGAGGCCGAGGGTTTAAGATGAGTAGGTCAGGATGCTGTAGAGTGCACCTGCCACGCTATGATGTCACCTTGCAGGCGTTACTTCCTCACAGGTGCGTTTGTGCCTCTGTCAATGGGAGCATCCATGTCGACGCAAATGAGGGCATCAACCGCACGCGCATCCATCTGCCAGAACTTCAATCCTGACCCAAACTCAAACCATATAGGCAACCCTGCAAAATTGCAAAACCACAGACGCAAGGCGGTTATGAAGGCAAACAAAATCCAGCCAGCATGCCGCCCCGAAAACATGTTGACTTGTACGTGGAGTGCTTAGTATCTAGCATTACCTTGCGAACAGAGGTATTGCCCTGCAATTATGTGTTCACCTGCCCCTGCTTCTAGATACACTAGCTCTAAGTCCTGCTCTTGGCACCCTTGGTTAACTTGGGCTTAGAGCGGGTACCTTCTCTGCACGGTGTTGTAATGCAAGCGCTTCGGGATGTCCAGCATTTTCTAAAAAGTTGCATCTACAGGTGTGCAAAAGCGCCAGAGACAGCTGGACCAGAAGCTCAACAGGCCTTGCAGGCTGATGCATGGATACGCCTTCATATTGCATAGAAACTCAGGATCACAAGAGTAGCCTTTCTCAATACAAGCTCCAGATGAGCTCTGAATGCTATTGCCCTCCAGCCTGAACTCCAAAATAATCCCCCTAAAGTCTTCCCTAAGCCGCCGCCGCCACCGCCAGTTACATACATCTCACAACTCCGGATGACACCCAAAGGGGACAAACTAATGCACGGGGCCTCAATATCCACGAGAGGATGTTGGGGTATACCAATTACTCTGCACTATGAGGCGTATGAAGAGATAGTGTAGTAACTAATTATGCAGGCCTCTACATTCGTCCTTATTCCCTATAAACCCTAAACCCTCATTCCCTAAACCCTAAACCCTAAACTCGAGATCCAAAATCATGGAGGCCTCTACTTCGGGAGCATCGATCGTCAAGGCAGGCAGAAGTGCGCCGCAAAAGCTGCCTGCATGTAAGCTGTAGTCTAAACTCCTTAAAGGGGATTATATAAGGTTTCCTTAAAGGGATGTCATATAAGTGGAGCATTGCAGGGGTTATTGATCAAGGAGGATACTCACTCCAGTACACACCTCAATTGAATGAATTAGCATGCAAAGTCAACATCGAAAAGCGGCATCCATGATTAGGGGTGGTGATAGCTTATCAACAACATCATCACCATCCTCATCAGCACCGTCGTCATCATGAGTGCGACCATCATACCTACTGCTACTGACCGCCTAATGTCACATCAATCTCTGAATACACCTTCTGTACACTCATGTGACCCAGAATCTCCAGATGGGCATGTCTTCAAGCTATCCCTGTCGAATCCGCAAAAAAAAAAATCACACTCCCTGTATTCCCCGTATAACCCAAGGGTTTCCACATCCCCGCCCCCCTTTTTGAGATATGCCCAAGTCAATCACGCCCATCCTTCAGCGAGCAGCGTCGAGACAACATTAGCACCGGGCACCATGGCCTCCGCTGCTCAGCCCCCCCAGACTGACACGAAAGGGATGTGATTGGGGGCTATGTTGGAGTTATGTTGCTGTAACGGTTGCATAGCGAAAAATGTTTATAGGGTCTAGGGATATTATCCGACCGATGGAGAATCAAATGGAAAAGAAGATGGACATGAAATGGAAACTGGAATGATATAGGGATTGAAGGTCTTAGGGGCTAAGTAAGCAGATCACGAAACTCAAGTATTATCTATAAGAGAATTGGCCTGAGAGACCTGAGGATAGTACGTGGTCATAACTTGGGTTTTCCTTGCCTAGTGACATGGAAACCCAAACAGCCCTGATTCTCAAAAGGACTGTGGCCTTTGGAGGGCGGGGTTCCATGTTAATGCTTTTGGGAGAGCAGCTATCCAAAATGGGATCGGTTGTTGATGATACCCAGAAGGACACCCCATGTGCAAATGAATATATATATATATACATGTAGTATATGCATATGTCAACACATATATCTATTCATGCATATATGCGCATTCAGCCTATCCGCGGTAACGAAAAACCACAATGACAAGACTTGCCGTACTTGTGGTTTCTACTGAACTTTGGGGCCGGAATAGTTGCTCAACTTTCCCTGCTCCCACCAGGAACCTTGCGTGCTATAGTTCCCAAACCCAAAAAAAAAAGTGGCTTTTCCAAGAGGGTGAAGCCCACCTGATAGGTATCTGCCCATGATCTCCGAGATTCAGGATTAAGGGTGCTGCTCACTTATGCCTCTAAATTACTGTGGGGCACTACCAGAGGAAGGTGACCTTGACATGCGAAGATCCCGGCATGCACTGCTAATCCTGATGCCAAGCCACTGCAGTATCCATGGACGGAAGAAGGTTGACACTGGCATCCATACATGCTTGTAATATGTTCAGACCGATTCCACAGATCCCTTTAACAAATGCAGCAGCCCTGCCACTTTTTGCTTAAATGGTCGCAGCATGGTATCGCGGGCGCTTTTGGCACACCATGTCCTCAGCGTGACATGTCTCCTGAACAGTGCCCGCGGGCCACGCTTCCGCGGGAGGCTTGCTCTGGCTCAAGTGAATCGGATCAGCACCGGCTTCCAACAAGAGTTCCACGATTTCAGCATGCCCTCGTTCGTCTGCTGCCTGCAGTGGGGTAACCCCGCCTGCATCTGCCCGATTCACATCCGCCGCTGCCTCCATCAAAACCCGTGCCATGCGAAGAAAGCCTTTCTTTGCCGCGGCCAGCATTGGAGTGATACCCGCCAAGTTTGCAGCATCTTTATTCGCACCTGCATTCACAAGGTAGCGTGTCATCTCGACGTGGCCGCGGCCAACTGCAGCATGCAAGGGGGTGAACCCGCTAAGATCCGCCTTGTCCTTGTCTGCACCGGCTTCGACCAGACAGGCGGCTGCTTTGTTGTAGCCACGCGCAGCCGCTACGTACAAGGGTGTGAGGCCGCGTCCGTCAGTTTTGTCCATGTCGGCCCCAGCCTGCAAACTGCAAGAAGCTGCATGGTGACTTCAGGTTTTTGCTACCCTCCTACGTATGCGGAGCTCAGAGCAAGCTAGAAGTGTTTTTACCCAAGACGCCTGCAGTAAGATCTGGACCATGCGGACGTGACCCCGATTAGCTGCGAAGTGTAAGGGCGTGGCCCCTCCGAGGTTAGTCTGATCTTTCTGGGCCCCTGCAGCTATTAGCTGCTTTGCCACCTCGCCGCAGTCCTCCTTTGCAGCTTCATGCAAGGCTGTACGACCACAGGGAAGGGTGTGGTTGATGTCGGCAGCAGCAAGAAGGAGCAAATGAAGGATAGCTGCATTCCCGAGTTGGCTGGTCTTGCTGATCACGGAGTGGCCGTCTGCATACATGCAGTTGGGATCTTGGGGTCTTCCCAAAATATCACCAACCTTGGAAACCTCTCCTTGCGCAACCGCAAGCAACAGATCTTCTGCGAAGTCCTGGAAGCTCAGCGCAAGTTGCTAGGTGCAAGTCACGGCTTGAACAAGTCAGCACCTTGTGATGTCTACAAGTCAGCTCCCTTGCCATGTTTTGCAGGACGATATAATGGCCTTTAACAGCACGCGGCAGCAGGAACAGCAGCAAGAGAAAAGCATCAGGATTTGCAATCGCTCCAGGATGGAAAAGCAAAAAGAAGTATGTGCAACGAAACGGGCCCACTGCCGCCGCTCCTCCACCATGGAGAGCTTCACGAGCTGCAGGTCTGTTGGGCTACCAAGCCTTCAATCAGGGGGGTTAACACACATACTCAAGCCTTTGGGTTGTGGAATGACTCCCAGTCCAACATGCGGTTTATGCCAACCCACTATCCAGTCGAGGCCCAAAGCTTTGCGGATGGGGTTTCTTATTAGGTTTCCGGATAATGCAGGAGCACTTGACACCGCCCGGGCTTGGTCCCTATGCAAAGCAATACAGCAGTAGAGAATACAGCTAGCAATTGATGAGCATTAGTCTGTTGCCCCCTGAAGGACAGCTTTGCTTCGCTGAGATGTGGCCATGATAGGCTTGTAGCACAGCGTAACAGCCAGTGCAAAGGAAGGCAGTCACGCTCCTGTTGGAAGCGGATTTGCATGCTTGTGAGAAATCTCCCATGAACCCCTATGGTCATATACTATTACTATTACTACTATGATTGTTAAGTATGAAACCACGGGTAGCTCCGAGCAGCTGGGAGAAGGTCTGGCCGTAGGGCAGCTCCACGTCGTCCCACAGCAAGCGAAGTCTCGCACAGGCATCACCAAGGGAAGTGCTTAAGGGCCTACTTTCGGGATTTCGCGGTTAGTGGGTAGTGGTTAGGATACCCGTGCTTTCCTTCTGTGGCGGTGAGGTTTGGAGCGTTCTACGCGGCAGGAACGTCCGGGACCCTCGTTTTAATGTGTTTTCACCGGCGCTCATTCAGGACGTGGCCATTGTTTGGGTGACCCTGTTTATTGTGTTTTTTGGGGGCCCTAAAAAACGGGACCGAATCCAGACCATCCCTTTTGAAATAATCTCCAAGGCCTTCCGGGGCCCTCAGTACCGTGGGACCCTTTTTCAGGACGTCTAATTTCTATTTTTCTGGTGGCCCTATTGTTCGGGGGCGGCCTTAAGATTAAAGAGGGCGCAACATTACTTCCCAAAACAGGGGTCCCCCTTGCAAACCCCTAATAAGGGTTCAGGGTTTAGGGATCCCCCAAAAAGGCAGGCCCTCTTAATGTGGAACCCGATACTTCCTGGTGGTTAGTAGGGAAGAAGGCAATCGAATCCCTATACAATCCCTATATGGCAGTTTCCCTAAATTACTGTTCCCAAAATGGGGGAAATTTATATAGGGCCCCGTATTATAATGGGAACCCAAATATAGGACCCCGTATTATAAGGACTTTAGACCAATACCCATATACTATATTCCCAGTATGTAGAAGCTGTCTCGGGCCCATTCGGCCTGAATGGCGTCAACCCAAGCTTCAGCGCAAGCCTGGACGGAAGAATGTGGGTAGTTCCCAAAATTATGGCTTAGGGTTAGGTAGTTCCCAAAATTAGGCTCCAATTTTGGTACTCTTGAATATTAGGTGCCGTAACATCGTCTTCTGTCTAGAACCAAAAAGGGCCCATATCTTTGAGAACGGCCCATGTGATATGGGGCGCCTGCTGCTCGGTATTTTCTGTATAATACACGCACACACCCATGCTTGTTTGCACCTACATAGGAAACATTGGACAAATACATATACAAACATAACTGTTTACATGTACACGTTATATTACATACACCCCGATTTTGTGCATTGCATCAAAATAAGGAACTACTTTTCTAAACAGAAACTACCATAAGCCCCAAACGGGAATGCGGACTAAGTCCAGTGAACGAGCAAATTCATGATTAACGTAGATGATCCTGCGGTGACCCTCGCCCTAAACCATATATGACCCCATTATAGTAGTTTGCATTTTCTTCTCCATTATCCAATTTAACCCCCATATATTATATGGTAGTTTCCATTTTCCTTTCCATTATCCCCAGATAAACCCCATATACCATATAGTAGTTTGCATGTTCTTTTCCATTATCCCTGTATAACCCCTGTATAACCCCTATATATAACTACTAGCTTACTATGAGGGACCATTACCAAGAACAGAGCGAAGATTATTCAGGAGTTTCTCGAAATCATGTATTTTGCAAGCTAGTCCCCAAAACCCCTCAACCCCCGCAGCAGATCCGTAGTGCCCTAGGCCGGGCAGCCGCTGCTTCAGCGACAAGTTGAAGTCCAACCACTGCTTTGCCTCGCTGAGGTCCACCGTAAGCCTTAGCGTCTTCTCAATAAGACTTGGGGCCAGGGATGGAGGGGCGGGGGCGAGAGGCTTTGAGCTGCTGGAGTTCCTGTTCAATTGCTTCACAAGCTGGACTGCAACTAGCTTCTCTGCCCAGTGGCAGGACATCCCCGGAAAGGTGTCTGACTTGGATGCCATCTGGCTCTGCCATCAGCACGCAGCGGGTCTTGAATTCTACTGATTGAGCTCTACAGGTAGGTATGCAATTGGGTGATTAGGTATGGTGGGTGCGTGAGTCTCAGTTTGCTCGAAGTCGCATATGCATTGCTTGAGAATGCCATGAAAAATGCAGCTGCACCGGTGGCAGCCGCCCTAAGACCAACTGGTGCAGACTGTACAACAGCTTGAGCATACATGTTTGCAACAAAGATCAGACCACAGCTTCTGGTGGCAAGTTGTGCTTGGCCACGACTTGCCAAAGCTCATTCCTGCCCAAGCCTTATCTGTGACCCACATCCACCACGATCCTGAAAAGAATTTACGGCCTTCCGAATCTCTTCCCTCCCACTCCTCACACGGAAAGCCGCCCCTAACGTTCGTGCGCCTGCACTTCGGCTGCCAGAAGTGCCTCAAGCGCAATCCCGGAGGGTGCACATAGCGCTGCGGCCATATGGCCAAGGACCTGGCAGGCAGCGGCCCCTTGTGTAGAAGGGGCGTAGGGACTGAAATATGGGAACAGTGTATGTTCCGCGGGCCAAATACTATAGCAGATTGTCTAGAAACTTTTGTATAAGATCCACTCCTCCACTCTCCCTTAAGCAACGACAAGGCAAGTGCAGTGGCAAGTAAAAGCCACAACGAAGCAAGGGGTAAGAGCAGGAGAAGGACAGGTGCTAGGTTACCCCACTGACGCCTGAGCAGGAAGCCCCTAAAGGAAGGCGGCCGGGTGCGGGGTGTAACATGGTAAACCACAAGAGCGCAGGGCACTCCAGTAGGCGGGGCACCCAAAAAAATGCCCTCTGATATGAAAGCCAAAACATAACGCTCTTGATCAAGGTTGGCTCCCCAAACGGCGCTTGCAATGTAAAAACGCCCATCCTGAAATTCTCAACCCCGTCTGCTGGTTGGAGATTGCATAGCCAGTATACAAACCCCACCAACCCATTTTGGGGATATCTACATAAAAGGCTCTCTTTCGCCATCAGCGACTTTATGCTGACTTTAGGACGCCTAAACATGGATGAACCATTGGCACCAGAGAAAGGAACGACATGACCCCACATAATTGTTCTACAACCCCTCACCACAAACACACTTAACCCGGAACCCTTAACTAACCCTCGTCCCTCAATCCTAAACCGTGAACCCCAATCCTCCATTCACTCAAGCCGAAAAAAATGCAACTGTACAGGGCCAAACAGAAGAACGCAAAGCTCCGCCAGAGACTCCAGATACGAACCCAAGACAATTTCTGCATTCTTAATCCCTAGACCCTAGACCTTTATCCTAAATTAATCCCTAAGCCCTCAACTCTGGTCCCTAAAATAGCAGTACGGCACCTAATCCCTAACCCCTAAGCCCTACACGCCAATCCCTAAAACCGTTAATGTTAACCCTAAATGATGCCCCGAAAGCCTAGCCTCTCTACTTTGCCGGCCCAGGCTACGCGACAAGGCCCCCAGCTTTTCTGGCACCTGCTCTCCAGGGCTTCGGAGTTGGGGGTTCGGGGGGGGTTTAGGGTTTGAGGGCTTACAGTGTGGGGGTTAGGGGCCTAAGGGTTTAATTAGGGCTGGGGGCTTGCGATTTGGGGATGCGTTTTCATGGGCTTCCATAGCGTCAGATTCTTGGTCAGGTCCGAGCGTAAAACTCAAAAGCTAGACTGGGTTGTCCTTTAAGCCCTTTATCTACCTTGATGGTTCTCTACAAAAAATGTGGGAAATTAACAAAAAGATCCCAAAGGACAACCCAGTAGAAGATGTGTTTGAGCAGGATGGGCTGAGAGCTAAAGCTGGCCTGTGCGTGGAATACCTTCGATCCTGCTTCGGCTACAACTCCCTGGGCTCTGACGAGCCGACCGCGCAAGTTATATAGGGATTATATAGGATAATGGAAAAGAAAATGGAAACTACTATAATGGGTTATATAGGGATTATAGGGTAATATTGGGGTTATCTGTTGTTGCATGGGGCTTGCAAGAGCATAGCGCTCTGACAGTACCGCTCTGAATGGACCCACTCCTAGCAAGTACTTTCAACAGCGCAACTTACTCGGTGCTAAAGGCTTAACATTGAACCATATGGTTGAACATCTGAAAAATCTAGGCTTCCCTGAGTGAACCCCAAAACCAAACCTCAACCCTAAGCCCAAAACCCTAAAACCGGAACTTTAAACCCTGAACCCTATGGCCTAAGCCTTCAATCCTGAACGCTGAGCCCCAAATCCCTGCCCGGCCAGCGCTGCAAGAAGCTCGGCCCAGGCTGTGGCGAGACCGCGGCCCAGGGCGGCCTGCGGCCCAGGAGCAAGCGCCAGCTGTTTTGAGGTTCTGTGTGCCATCAGGGTTCGGCGTTCTGTGCTTAGGGCTCAGGGATTAAGGTTTAAGGATTCGATAGGCGTTACATCATTACAGGGGGCTTGCGGGGGTCCCACAAGTCATCATCTCGTTGCAGGAAGAACCCCTTCTTGCATGCTTGGTAGCCGTCATATTTAAAAGCATATTTAGTGCTTCAAGCTTAAAGCTACTTAAACACATCGCTACTCTTGATTGAATGAAGTCCTGAACGTGGTGTGCCAAGCCGCTGCCTACAGAGTCCTAATGAGCTGAAATCTGCACAGGCCTCAAGCTCCACAGCTGCCATGCTGAGAACAGGCCTTAGGGCAAATTCGGAATCTGCTCTCACTATGAGAACTGCAGCATACTTGGCGCCAGGAACATAGCAACAATATCCTGCTCGATGAATGTCGACCATTAACGAGATGGATGGGAAGGGCAACCCTGGATCATACATGGGAACCTGATGCCTTCTTTCTTCAAGTAGCGCCGTACACAGATGGGCATTTCCCGAAAACAAAGCTCCTCCTTGGGACCACACTCCTCAGCTGATGGCCTCGTTCTTACGTGGCCCATATTCATTGTTTACGGGCCTTCCCACTATGAGTCGGAAAAAAGACAATCTCATGGCTTCAGAGTCCCCATTCTGTCTACCCCGGAACAGGGTTCCAATGTTGGGGAACCCAGATGAGCTACAGTCTAAACTCCTAGCATCCCCCTTAATAACCCCTACATAATCCCTTTAAAATCCCAGAGCTCAATCCCACTGAGCCAGCGGCGGCCAGGCTGCGGCAGCTGAAGCGGCGCTGGGAGCCTCACGGCGCAGTGCCCGGAGGCCGAAGAGGAGTTCTGCCTGCCGGGAACTTTCAAACAGCCCAATACCACGCAAAGAGGGGGGCCTATGCGCAGTAATGTGATGT